GTGACAGTTTCAGGCAGAACTCAGCAGCAGCTCCCCCCTCGGCTCTCTGCCTTTAAACCCTTCGTGTCCATCGGGATCAGGTGCAGCCACTTATAATAGTATCTGACTAGTATCTAACTGAACAGTGATTCCGTTACAGGACGTAGCTAAATCTCACATCGCCCGTTAGTAAAAGTTACCGTTAACATAACGTCAGCTATCTGAGAGCTGAGCCTTTAATTACAACTTCACACAGACGCCTTTTCTTTTGGCTTCTCTCTTCTTGCTGACTTGTCTTTGACTCATTAAAAGATGCGGTTAGAACACACTAAATTACTTACTTACACTAACTTAGCAGCTTGGGGCTGCTCGTATCTGGCTAAATAGCATAACGAGCTAACGTTAAGCTAACGAGCTATATGCCGACAGCGATACCCGTTAAATGTTAACACATAAATAAAATACACGGATCTCCTGGAGGTTCGCTCTCCAACGAACGGCACCGCCTGCCATTATTCATCCGGTCTGCGTGTAGAAATGTCCAAAAGGCTCCGACAGGCTGAGCCACAGAGCTCCGTGTAGCTGAGTGAGGCTAACAGACGGGGGACCGAGTGCTAGCAGTGGCAGCGGCTAATGGCGCTTGTCAATCAAAGCGGCCACGTCCCTAATAATGCAGAACTTTAAGGCTTAATATAATTTAAACAGGTGAGTCATAAAAAAATTCACCCCCCTCACAGTTGTCACGAAGGGCAAAATTAGCGATTTGCACTCAAAACTGTAAAGTTGCTGTAAAGTTTGGCATTTTAACATGGGGGTCAGTGGAGATTGACTCCCTTCTGCAGCGAGCCTCAAGTGGCCACTCGATGAATTGCAGTTTCAGATAATTCCGCATTGGTATCGCAACTGAGAGCCGGAGGTTACCACTTGATTAACACCCTTGCCCTTCATACATGATGGACATGTTCCTTGCCCTGGTTTTGGGAAGGTGTGATGGAAAACAAAAAATGTGTTCATATCATGGTAAGTAGGCACTGGATTGTTTACATCAATAAAATGTCTTGAATGTATGCATTTGAATCGGTTTTATTTATTTTTTTAAACTAGCATGATTAACAAACGGCACGTAGAGGTTTGATTAGGTTAATAAAAGGAGGAACAACTCAGATGTAGTTAATTACTTTAATATTTTGTAGGATTAAATCAGAAAGGCATCCCCATATGCATTAAACTGCCTCAAAAAATCACCTAATCTTGGTTTCAGTTACACTAAAGCACAATAGCGAAATCTAAATCGATAGAATCTAGTCTGTTTTATGAGTGGGAAATGGATGAAACCTAGCTGTGGTAGGGCTGTACCGTTCCACCGGACAGGAAGTCCATCCACAATGTCATGAAAATGGCTGAAAAGATAAGCAGATCTATGCATCATGTAGGAACACACTTGCTTTTCTGCCTCCTTTGGTCTGATCGCCCGTTCTGCTGTGCTGTCAAGACCTGGGCCCTGTTTCAGAAAGCGGGTTCAACAAACTCTGAGTGTAAACTTGAACTCTGAGTTGATGAACTCTGAGCTGTCAAAGTCCGAGTTTTACATTTCAGAAAGGCCGATCAGAATAAGTTCAGTCAACTCAGAGTATGTTGAGCCTGATGGAAGCGCGTGCGTGGGGATGAAAAAAAGCCTCATCAATGGAGCTCTGATACTACAATTCACCATGGCAACGGGTAAATAAAGGCAGAGCCTCTATTTTAATCGGGTGGAGCTAGAAATATGAATGCGGACCATGATTGGCTATAAAACGTATGATTGATACGTTAAAAACGTTGCTCATTCATCATTTACCAGACTGGAATTTCCTTAATGAATGATAAAGTGCTGGAATTGTCTTCCAGCCTGTTATTCATTTTAAATAGGCTACAGGCCTGTTTATTCAGCTGTAACCTGATGGGACTAAATGCTGGTGGCAATAACTGAAGATAAAAATATTAATCGAACAGATTAGACACAGTTTAGGCTCCTCATGGCCTTGTGATTGTAAAGCCACAGTCCGACTCAGTAGGTCTACACCTATTAATGATTTTTTGCATTTTAAAATGTGTCTAAGTTCAAACTGAGTGTGAAGTTTTAGACGTCTATGTTCCATTAATAAAATCTTGCTCATTTCGTATTTTATGAAACGCTGTCAAAACACATTCAGACTATCAGCAGATAATGAAAAACTCACCTTTAAACTGCATTTATTTGTTTCTCAGAGTTTCCCTCATCTCGGGCTCAACTTACTCAGAGTTTTCACTAAACCTTTTTTTCTCAGTATGAGTTAACATTAGTGTTACCACCCACGAGGTGCTTGCAACTCGGCACAACACCGGGAAGCTTGTACATTAATCTAGAATGAACACGGCTACATGTATTGTATCGGCTACAACACAGCTATCTAGCTAGGCCACCATGGAACACAAACTTGTAATTTTCACCTTCTCCACCATGTGGAAAATCAATGTGCTAGCTTAATGGCTAACGTTAGCTAACTTGGTAATAAGCCATTTTCTCGTTTTCCAACACAAAGTAGCGGTCATCACGTTTTAAAGTAAACATTATAACAATAATAATTGCCTACTAACAATTTCTACATGCAACAGGTTGATTAAAACTGAGTTAGGTCCACTAATAATTGTTATTAGTGGACCTAACTCAGTTGTTATTAAATCCCATGTTAGTATTTACAGTGTGGAACAAAGTTTTCAACCATCCCCTAGATAATACCAGTACATAACAAACTAGTTATGTCACAGCCAAACTTCATAACAATGTCACATAGTACAGTTCATTTATTTTATTAGGTATAGTTCAATTGTCTAGCTTAAACTCTATTTTGACAACAAAAATGGCAAATAAACAACAAATGTAGTACCAAAAACAACACTTTATTTAAGATTATCTCCATTCCCTTACTTGAAGTGTGTGTGTGTGTGCGCGCGCGCGCATCATATGTATATATATATACACTGTATATATATTTTTTTAATATAAGTCATCTTTATTGCAAAGAAGGGGGTTACAATTCAGATGTGACTTATAAAGATATTCAGAACAGTATATATATATATATATATATATATATAAAAACACAAGCAAAATTATGTAAAGCTTTGCAAGGGGAAGCTTACAGGCTATTACAAGGAGAAAGAGGACCATATGTTGACAGTTTTAACCGCTTTTTTATTGTTGGAGCCAGAAATCAATTATTAATTAATATAAAGCACAACTTCATGGAGAAAAAGTACAAAATTAGGTTTTTTAGCGCTGAATTTACATTTATGAATGTGGAATTTAGCCAACAGGATTAATAAATTTATAATGAAGTACAACTTTTCTTTATAAGCGGTTGACGATGGATGGATGGATGGATGTAATGATTAGCAGGGTAATATCTGTGAATTATTCTGAACGACACTTTCACCTTGTTTACTATCAAGTATCTGTGAGGAATCATCCAAACCTTTTTCCAGTCAGTGTCATTTACAAATCGGTTCCAGTAAAATGTAACATTTGCAATAGAAACAATTTCTTTCTGGAATAAAGCACGGATGTTCTTATTATTTCGAGGAAGTTGGGAAAAACAGATTTTACCTACTGGTGATTCAGCGACATCGGGGAGGGAGGCAGAAGTAGGTGGAAGTCTGACAGTATGTCTAAAAAGCATGATGGTGCCTGATGGAATGGCGTCAAATACAATTGCATATTCTCTTGGCGTAACTGGAATGTTATATGTTGATAAAAACTCTCTATAAGAAAAAAGTCACCCCTCTCCATTAAAGAGCTGGTCCACCAGCAGAATCTGATTGAGTATCCAATTCTCAAAAATGAGTGATTTGTTCTTATATAATATATCTCTATTATTACAAATTAGATACCTGTGAGGTGAGAAATTATGCTTATAAATTAGAGACCATGCTAAAAGGACCTGCTTGTGAAAAGTGGACAGTTTTACAGGGAATTTGTCCACATTGTAGTTACAGTTTAGAATAAACTTTGGTCATGCCTTCTCTGTGTTTTGATTTTGGTTTCTCTGTGTCTGGGTTTTGGGTTTCAGTCCTGTCTGTCTGTGGTCTTGTATCCAGACTTCTGCTTGTTCTGTGTGGTGGTTCTGATCTGTCCCGTTATCTCGGTGTCTGCCTTAGTACTTGTTTAGTTCTGTTCCTGTCTCTCGTGTTAGTTCTGTACCATCGTGCTTGGGTTCTGTCTGTTTGCTAGGTGTTAATTTATGTTCCAGTTTCATGAATTAATCTGATTTTGATCATTCTGCTTTAGTCTCTGAGTAGCTGTTATTATTTTATTCATCCGCATCTCTGTTACTTCATATCTGTCTTGTCTCGTCTCTTAGTTCCTAGTTCGGTGTTGTAGTTCTTAGTCCTGTACCTTAGTTCATGTCTTTGTGTTTACTCCTGGTCTGTGTACTTCTTTGTTGTTTTGCCCATGTCTGCTCTGAGTTCTGTTTAAATCTTAGCTTCAGTCTGTATTCCTTGTTGGTGTTTATTTGTGATCTGTCTGCTTGTGTCTGTATTAGTTGATTTATATTACTCTGATATGTTTAGCGTTTAGTAACTTGTGTTGTGTCTGTTCCCCCTCAGTAATCTGCCTCTCTTATAGAGAGTGTTTTCCACTGCTGTCTCTGCCTGCCTGCCTCGTTAGCCCTGATCCCAGTCACCTGTGTTGCTCCCGCCCTGCTTGTTAGCCCCTGTGTATAAATGTTTGGTGTTTCTGTTAATTCCCTGTCTGGTCATTGTCGTATGTTGTATCGTGTATGTTCTGTCGGTACTGCGTTACCCGGTCTGTATTTTTGGATGTTCCAATTCCTGTACCTGTGAGTTTTTGTTCATGCCTGTTTGTCTTGCCTTGGATTAAAAACCCTGGAACTTATGTCAGCTCTCCAGTGTCATGCATTTGGGCTCTCTCCTGCTTTGCGCACCCACCGACCCTGACAGATTGCTAATAAAAATGAAGGCATTTCGAAGTCTGTGAACTGTTACGTTGCTGTGGACCCTGCAGTGGTGGCTGCACAGCTGGGTCCTGGTGTGCTGGTTCGTGGACGGATGGAGCCAGGAGTGCTGGAAGATCCTGGAAAACAACAAATCAGTATTTAATCTAAGAAAAACATTTAGTTTTCTTTCTTGACAGTAGTGTTCCAAGATCACAGTGTGATTGGGGGACGTGATCAGTGAATGTACTTCCTTTCCTGTTAGAACAAAATGTGTGTAAGTGCATATGTTATTGTGAACTGCAAAAACAGCATACTTTGACAATGCAAGGGATTCCATTTGTATGTACTATGGAACTGGGACACTGGTCTCCCCTGTAGGAGGAAGACCTGCTGTCTTCAAAGATCAAGTTTGCTCTTCCTGTTTTATAGTTGTTCCATGTTTTCATGCTCTATATTTGTTACCTGTTCCCAAACGGTCCAGCAACACCCACCAACCCTTAAAGTAAGTGGACCTCAGTCCTAGACAACATATTAGGTGTTTATTTTTCAAATATTTAAATATTTTAAATAACACCAGAATCAATTTTATTAAACTTATTTGTTTCTCAAGGATTGCTTTTCATTTTTCTATTTTTTTTCTGTGTACCATCTGTCTGTTGTCTTACGAGGCACTTTCTGGAGGTGTTTGAAAACACCTGGTGTCACACTTCAATTCCTACCATATTAAAGCCGGTTCACACTACTTCAAACAACAAATTAGTGGATAAAAATATTAAAACAGATGTTGAGGTGTAAAGTTGGTTACATTTATTCAAAAAAATAATTTCAGAAATTTATACAAAGTAAAGAACATCTATACACAGTTTACTACTAAGAAAAGAACACAATCATGAAAATAAAGCAAGTGCCATCTAAACATGTGGTAATAAATAAACAAACAAATATAAACAGTTTATTTACACAGGTAAAATATTTACTTAAAATAACAAACTCATAACAAAAACATTTTACAATTTAAAAATCAATCTAATAAAATAATATGATAAAATCAACTGCAATCTATACAAATGTGTGGCAATAAATCAAATCTATACATTATTTCTTAAAAAAAGTAAATCTTTTCTGTTTGGCTTCATGACTGTGTTGACGTGGCTGGAGCTGCGTCTGTCGCTCTCCCCTGGGGACAGCCGGCCCGGTTAGCGCTATGCAATTCTTCCTCCTTTTGGAGAAGACAGCAATCAGTAGGTTTGTGGTGAGATATACAAATGTTCTTTTTCCATTGGTATGACGACGTCAAAGTCAGAAATCAGAGCTTTGTTTATTAGGGTTCAGACCATAGCTCTGATTGCCACCAAATTTTCAGTGAATCATCATTGGATCAAGCCTATAAAAGTTGTATAAAGCATGTCGATATCTCAATTACGTTTTAAGATATGGACCAATGAATTTTGAAAGGGGCGTGACTCTGGACATAAATGACCACAAATCAGCAACCGTAGGGCAGATCATCACAAAACTCACAGGATATGTTCAGATAGGTGCCTCGGATATACCTGGACAGTTTGATGTACATATGTCACTAGGGGGTGCTACAAGCGCAAGACAGGTGCTTAGCATTACACAAATTGCACTATAAATCACATATTCATTCTCCAATCATCACCAATCTCACAGGATATGTCTTCATAAGTAACTGAAACATGCTCTGAAAGTTTCATTAAAATCGAACACCCGGGGGCGCTATAAATGCAAAAAAAACCGCAGGGGATAAAACGCAAATCAGGCTACAAAATGCACATTGTTTGTCCAATCAACACAAAACTTGCAGGATATGTCTACATAAGCACCTCACACATACCCTGAAAGTCACATTCAAATTGACCACTAGGAGGCACTATAAATGCATAATAATTGGATGTGGAATGAACCAAATCAAGCTATAGCTCAGAAAATGCTTGTCCAATCGTTGCAGAATGTGTTTCGTAACAATATTGAACCGTATGTGTGAAATTCCTTTGATGTCGATATTGCAGAAAAAGGTATGACCCTGTGAATCACCGCTTGCGGCTATATTTATTATTTTGTTCTTGTCATGTTTGCACCCACAGCACAGTCCTTCTGTTCTAACCAAAGAATGGATGGATGTACTGCAACTGTACCTCTTTGGCGTCCTCCAGCGCTCGCATGATTGATGCGACCACCAAGTTCACCAGCACAAACTGGGCCATAACCACGAAACTGATGATTGGTTGTACACGGAGAGACCCAGGAAAGGTAGCTCATACAGCCATGCTCATCAGGATGACATTCTCTTAGTGTGTCCTTGAGAGAGACAGAGCAAGATTCAGAAAGGAAGAGGGACTGGCAGGGACTGGCACACAGACTGGAGGCAACATGCAAAATCATTCTTACTTAGAAACCACAGTAATTATAATAAACTGACAACTAAATTGATCCACTGGTATTGAACTTGATGATAATTTTTTATTTGATTACATGTGGCATTTTGTTGGCCATAAGTGGGATAATTCCCTTCAAAGTTTTACATTCAATGCTTGTGATTGTTTGGTATTTTCCCTTACACAACTGAGTTCGGATATCACTGCTTTCTCAGTGGTTGGGAGATACTATGCTGTATGTATAGAACTTGTGTGTATTCATGAAGGAGTGAGTACATACTTTCATAATCATGTTCCAGTTGTCACCGGTGCATAGGCCATACAGCGTGATCAGGGCCACCCCAAAATGTCTAAAGTTGGCTTCAGCATGTAAACCCAGGCATGGGTAGTCATCACTGCATTCTAATAAACACAGAGGCACACAGCACAGACATACAGATATTGATTTCAGTGCACTGTGGACATGTTGGAACCATGATACTTTGCAGTCACCCCGTGTGAAGGTGTGTGTAACTGACCTAGCTTGCCATAGATCTCCACTCCCACCGCAGCGTAGATATAAGAGGACAACATGAAGATCAGACAAATATTGCCAACCTGGAATCAAAATCAGTGTTAGATCTCCTGTCAAACCAACTCTAAGATGTAGATACTCTAAATTCTCAACCAGGGGCCGGGGCCAAAGATGCATTCAGATGTACACACAGATATAGAAGGGTGACAAATATGTAACAACTTAAAACATTTAGAGCTGCTCTAAATAATAAAAAATATTATTACATCAACAATGGATCACATGGCTACATGCATGCAAAAGGAGTCACTCAAAGTGATGAACCCAGAGAGGCTTTTCACACCATTCTGCAGTTCATCTCAGGTCTACAGAGCATTTCAATGTTGGTTTTATGGTCCAAACTTTTCTGTTTTGGTTCACTATCATCATCTCATCAACGTTACATCCAGCTGCAGCAGGCAGCTGTTTTTACCTCTGTTAAACCCATTGGTCGAAACCAGTCCGAATACATGCATCTCACTGGCCACTATGATCAGCCACTGTTTGCATGACCTCACCAGTCTTTCTCTTTTGTTTGTTAAAGGCAATGCTCAGAAAAATAGACCACCAACAAGGCCCTTCATTCTCCTTACTGTTGCACTGGACTTTTCCTCCCTCTTCTAGTATCTCTTCATCTCCTCTTTTTTGATTCTGCTGACACAGGTGGAAGGTCTCCACCATTACACCAATAAACCTGTCGAGCAGAAGGAAGCTTATAATCATTGAAGGAGATAAAGTAAAGCAGCATCCATTCATTGTGATTCCTCACAGGCTGAGAGGAGAAGAGCAGAGAGGAGACATCAAGGACGCATTTATTAGACTGCTTTTCTATAGAATACCTGTTGGTCCACTCCCACAGCATCCAGCCCATCATACATGATGTTCATACAGCCATCTTTAGAGAACATTACTAACAAGCTCATCAGAGCCTGAATGGGAAACAGAGAAATAAGTGGAAAGTCAACACTTTGTTCCCCAGGTCCTACCATTTCTCTCTCCAGTAAACACCTTCATTACAGTTAGATGAATATGGTGCTTTTGTTTAACCAACAAAAAGAAACTAGACAGCACTCAGTGAGTGCATACATCCTCCAGTGTAATTATCTGACTGTGTTACTGTAGAGAGTAAGAGATCCTTTGGAAATTCTGGTTTCAAATCTCCATCATAATTTACATAATGATAGATCATGCGATCATGCCGATTGGCCGAACATGATTTTTATGACAAAATCTAAAACCTGTCCTGTGAGCTTGGTGGGTTAGTCCGTACCTGAAGCAGGTTGTCAAAGTTGTAGGTCCTTCATACCCAGAGATAGTTGGACGACAGACAGTCAGTCTTGTTGGTGATGTTTCTTACGTCCTCACCCACACAGCAGTAGAACCTCCCTCTGAACAACTACAGTGTTTGTGTGAGATAAAGACAGAGAAACAGTGTCTGTAGTGTTATTATATCACTGTCCTGACATCATCTCAGTTGCATCAAAGCTAATAGACTATTACACTGTTCATTCTCAACAGAGGTGTTTACTATGAGTGCCTGACTAAAAACTGACCAGGGATCACGTTGTTCCTTTTCATAGCTTGATTATCAGTTGGGGTAAAAGAAACTATGTGTGTGTGTGTATGAACTTACCTGCACCCCAAGAATGCCATAGAAAAACAAGAAGGCGCAGCAAATGAGAAGGATGTTCTTGATGGGTTTAACTGAGGCCATCAGAGCATCAACAGCCAGCTTCAGTCTCGGAGCTCGCTTGATCACCCTGGAACACACAAACATAAACAAACAGACACAAACATGACATGAAATATAAAATAAGATGGGATGCTTACACAGAGACAGTAAATAAAGATGTTAACTGGTATCAACCCACACAAACAGAAAACAAACATCAAATATACGCAGAAATGAATGATGTACCTCAGTGGTCGAAGTGTGTGTATTAGGTGTAAAACTCTGAGGATGCCCAGCATGTGATTGTCAGCTGTACTGGTCAGAATGATAATGAAGTGGGCTGAAGACGGAATCGCCAAGAAACCATCCACGATATTCCAGGAAGACCGGAAGTAGCTCTGCTTTCCAATTATCAAACCGAGAGCTAGAACCTGGTATTAAAGCAACAACACACCAATTTGAAATTAAAACATTATAGATTCCTCAAAACACTGAAAATCTGAGCTACAATAATAGATTTTAAGGTAGAAAAAAAAGTTCTTTACGGTTAAAAAACAAAACTAATGCTTACCTTAACAAGCATCTCTACCAGGAAGACAGCAGAGAATAGATCACTAGAAAAATTCAACATCCATCGCTCCTAAATGGCAGAGTGAGATTCATTTTTAACCTGTGTGTATTTTGTATTCAATCTGATCAAACTATTACATATCAGTTGTTTTATTAAATACATAACATCCAGCTTGATTGGATAGGTTTGTGTGTGTCCAAACACTCTGTGAGGGTTCACTGTATATCCCTGTCCGCAGTAACAGTTATTGTAGGTTACATACAGTTTATGTGTGTCTCACCATGCTTTTAGGGTCTAAGCCAGGCATCTCCAAAGCAATGCTGACACAGTTCAGGAGAATGAAGAGCAGAATTATGCTGTCGAACATCTTGTGAGAGATCAAACGATGGCAACAGACACGGAACCATAACACACACACGTTAATCAAAATAGCTATTCATTTCATTTGGGCCGAATGAATGATAGTGAAATTAGTTGTTGTTTTGGTGTGTATGAGACTCACTTGTTCTCTGGAGACAACACGCAGAATGACCACTCTTCATGCTCTTTGCCCCAGCGGCGCACTTTCTGGATCAGGTTCAAAGATCTCTGCAGGGGTGAAAAATCTGTCACCTCTCTTTATCCAAAGCATGAACAAAGATTCGGAACAATACAGCGAAACTGAAAAGGTGTGGTACACTAGCAAAATGTTGCTAAGAATAGAGGCAAAGTGAAAATTTGATAAATCCCAAAGCAGCTTTGATCACATCACCTATTCACATTGTTGTAAATCTTGTTAAATCTTCACCAAGGGTTAACTCTCAGTTGAGTCGCAAACCAGATTTTCACTCTTTCACTCTTAGGAAATCGTCCTCACTGGAATCTACAGGTGCAGAGTCTTCCTTGGGGGCTAAGTTAATCGCAGTGGATCTTGGTCGGGGGTTGAAGAAAAGAATGATAACAGCTTATACACACTAGATTTGCTGTATTATAGGTATCATTACATAGCTTTGGGCAGGATATTATTGTTATTATTAATGCTGCAATACCAAACATTCGCTGGTTCTAGCTTTATAAATGTGAGGATTTGCTGTTTTTATCGCATTACATATTAAATATTAAACTGTAAATCACAGCAATATATTGAGGCCATATGTGCAACTTCTAGCCCAGAGAGGAGTGAAAAAAGTCAATTTCCTTATGCAGGAATGTCCTCTACCAGGAAGCAGCGGTTGAGCAGCTGCCCCGCCCACAGCTCAACTCCCACAACGGAGAAGACGTGGATGACAAAGAGGTAGAGGAGGAGAAAGTTTGTAAGCATCGGCACAGTGTTCAAGAGGACTGACACCAAGCCTTTCATACCTGCACAAATGAACAAAAAGAATTTATTTTTACTAATACTTCATGTCAAACACACAGACACACAGAGACACACACACACACACACACACACACACACACACACACACACTGGTTTGTTCAAATTTCAGAAGCAAAGTTGCGTACTATATTTATATCAAAGCTTGATTTACAGACCTGCTTTGACTGCACTGACTGGAGTGTTTTTGAAACTGCACAGCCAATAACCTGGACAAACTAACTGACACTGTGACATCTTACATCAGTTTTTGTGAGGACATGTGTGTGCCGACTAAAACCTTCCGCTCATACAACAACCAAAAACCCTGGTTCACAGCAAAACTTGTGAGACCAAAGACGAGGCCTTCAGAAGTGGGGACAGAGTCCTGTGCAACCAGGCCAGGAACACTCTAAAGTGAAAGCAGCTAAGAGGAGCTAAGCTGAAAAGCTAGAAAACAGCTTCATAGCCAGTGACCCTGCTTCAGTGTGGAGATGCCTGCAGACACTCACAAACTACAAGAGACCATCTCCCAACACTGCTGGTACAACTACTCTGCCCCCTATCACCACACTCAACAGCCCTGTGTGTGCTGTGGGATCCTTCAGGTTCATGGGTTCCACTATATCCCAGGACCTAAACTGGGAGCCCAGCACTGACACCATCATCAAGAAGGCCCAGCAGAGGATGTACTTCCTGCGCCATTCTGATTCTGGTGTGTCAGGGAAAGCCTAGCCCGTTTCTGACACGACTCATTAAAGTTATGACTTACTTGATACTCTGCCGATCAGTCGCATTGGCCTGAGCGCCTGACAAACTGGAAGGCGGATACTGAAAGAAGACAAAAATCTGCCACCCTGAAGGAACAGTTGCAGACAGAAACAGGGAGATGAGTCTTATTTTTCATAAAATGTACACACATTCTAATACTGAAAATAAAAACATAAGAGGCTGATGGTTCAACACTTTTTTGAGGAATGCCTTTTCTAAAATATAGTCAAAACTTCAGGCGAGTCTGACCAAAGCTGTCTAAACTTTATTGTTTTTCCAGAGTCCTACTGTGATTGAGTATGTTGTCTTTAAAACTAAGAAATTAAATATAATGTGACTAAAAAGAAAGCCATAGGCATTGTGGGATATTAACTTTGCCGAGTTGATGAAGAAGTCAAACTTGTTCCAGTTGTCGCTAAAGTAACTTCCTTCATAGCCAAAGACTCCCAGGGCCACCATCTTAATGAGCATTTCCACCATAAAGAAAGCAAATAATACATTGTCCAATATCTGGCCATACAAGATAAAAGAAAAAATGTACTATTAAACATACAGCAGAAACAACAACGGTGGCAAAGTACTATTATTATTATTATTATTATTATTATTATACAGAAGCACATTTTATGTTAAAAGCTCCTTTGGACAGTGAAAATCTGGTCAGAGGCCCGTATGTATGTTAGCCTCACTGTGCGGACCAATACCAAGTCTTTATTTACTTAGTATTTATAATCTACTTATTTATTTATCTATCTTCTTGAATTATGGTCCCTGCTTGGTCCGTGTGTTGTAACCTGTGTTTTCGCTGCTTTGCTCTGGTGCCCAAATGCTTATATGATGTCACTGACAGGGTTTCTGGCAGTTGTTTGAATTGAACTGAATAATAATTTAGCTGCTGGTCTTAAATGTGAGGTGATATGGCCACTTTCATTAGTCTCTTTATTTACAGATCCACCATGTAGCCAATGAAAGATCACAGAACAGGTATATTTGGACACACTGCAAAAATAGAATAGTTTTGGAAGGTGTGTTTTCATGAGAGGACGGAAATGCAGATTAAACACTTTTAATTGTATTTAAAATGTGCTAATGACACAAGTAAATGTACATTCCACTGCCAGTGTCCACTAATAACAGTGCAGGAGTCACACTGACCTCTAGGATGATGTTCATCTCTTCACAGGGTTTGTACATGCCCAGAGTCACACAGTTCAGCAGGATCATCAGCATGGCCACATTATCCGACCATGTAGAGGAAGAGGTAAATTTCATTTCAACACACTGGATGAGAGATCATATTCATTCATATAATTCATCAACAAAGGAGGATTACATACTAGAAGAACCTAATGGGATAAAGGTTGGCATCATTTTTACAGTGTCATAAAATTTTAATCTGCGTCAGGCAGACAGGTGAGAAGAAGATGCCCGTGAATCTTTTAAATACTATCAGCACCACAAACAAATTTCCATACACCTCCATTATAACACTTAATGTTGACTAAACGCCACAGCACAAAAACACAAG